AAGCCTGCTGTCATATGTGGGAGGAGTATAGAAAACCAGGAATGTATGCATGGGTAAGAGTTCACACTAAGGACAAAACCTGAAAAAAACACCACTGCAGCCTGTTTGCTGGGGGTATCTTCCTATGAAAGAGAAGTAAGGGAAGCCTTCCAGGATTTGGAGGGCTGTCAAGCAGAATGGTTCTCTTGCACACAGTTAGACTTGGTGGGAGACACAGGGCAGTGGTGGCTCCTAATCGTTCTCAGGTCACAGGGCCCTTTGGAAATCTGAATGAATGCAGGAGGTCTCAGAAAAGCAGACATACCATTTCAGAAGGTTTGCAGAGCCCAGACATCCTTGGACCTCAAGATAAGAACTCTTGCTAGATTGACAAAACACTACAAACACAGTCAAAAGACAACTGGCAAATTAAGAGAACATATTTGCAACATATATCAGATAAAAAGCATATATCTCTAATATATAAAGACCTCGTAAGTTGAGAATGAAAAACCCAATAGAAAAATGGAGGAAAGACTTGAATAGATAATTCACTCTGTGTATATTGTGTGCGTATTGTGCTTAAACACAAGAAGAGATGAGCAACCTCATTCATATAGAGATGCAAATTTAAACAACTCATGATACCACTTTTTACCTGTCAGATTGGTGAAAATGAAAAATTGTGACAACATATCTGGTCAGGAAGACCGAAGAAAAAGATATTCTCACACATTGCTGGTGGGAATGCACAGTGATACAACTTTTCAGAAGAGGAATTTGGCTATACCTGACAAAACTACTTGTGACCTGACCTGTTGACCCAGCACTCTCATTTCTAGGTATCTACCCTGAAGATACACCTCCAATAGCCTTGCATATAAAAATACATATATGCAAGGTTATTCTTGGAAGCATTATTTATTATTGCAAAATATTGGAAACAAATATCTACATACAGGAGAGAGGTTGAATAAGCTATGGTATATAAACATCCACACATGGAGCATTATGCAGCCATAATAAAGAATGAAGGTCTCCGCTTACTGATGGGGAGTGATTTCCAGGTGTGTCAGGGGTCCCCAAGACCACCTCCAGATTTGGTGATTCACTAGAATTCCCAGGACTTGGCATATGGTCATGTTTACAGCTAAGATTAGTTACAGTGAAATGATGTAAAGCAGTCAGCAAACAGAAGAGAGGCATGGGACAAAGTCCAGAGGAAATCAGGTGCTAGCTTCCAAGAGTCCTCTCCCAGTGTAATGACACATACTTAACTTTCTCCAGGAACACCTTGTGACAACACATGTGTAATGTTGTCTACCATGGAAGCTTGTTAGAGCCCGAGGTTTTTACTGGGGACTGGTCACATCAGCACCCTCTGCCTGACACGTCAAAATTCCAGACTTCCAGAAGGACAGCAGGTGTTCAGCATAAACCACATTGTTGTTTAGGTGCAGTGAGCCACTCTTAGCATTAGGGAATGTTAGAAACACTCCTGAAATCTAAGTTGCCAGGTGCCAGCCAAGGCCACCCTTGCAAGCAGGCCTTTCCAAGGATCACAGTCAGGCCTGCTACATTGACAGTTGTCTGCAAACTAGGATACATTATTAAGTGAGAAGAGCAAAGTACAAATAGTTATCTACAGTATCCTCCCTTTGGTGCAAGAAAGAAGAGGTGAGCCAGCCCTGATGGCTTAGTGGTTAAAGTTTGGCACGCTCCGTTTTGGTGACCTGCATTTGGTTGCTGGGTGAGGAACACCACCACTTGTCTCTTGGTAACCATACTGTGGTGGCAGCTCACACAGAAGAATGAGAAGGACTTACGACTAGAATATACAACTGTGAACTCCGGCTTTGGGGAGGGTAAAAAAATAATAATAAATAAAAGAAAGAGGAGGAAATAAGCAAGTATACAAGTAACTGCTTATTTGTATAAAGCATACACATGTGTACACACAGGAAAGATAAACCAGAAAATGTTTGGTTTCCTCTAGGGAGCTGGTGGGGGCAGGGTGGAAAGAAATGGAAATGGGATAGAAGGGACAGGAGGAAGTGACACTTCTCTGAGCATATATAACATTTTAGTAAATTTGTTTTTCACAGGGGTTTGGCTTAGCAATCGCTAAACTACTTTATGTGTATTCTAGGATTGAGTGAATTGATCAATATTATTGTGGATAATGCGAGCGTCGTTTCTCACTGACAAATTCCAAGTAGGAGGGGGGAGGGGTGTTGCTAGGAGGAACCGTGTGGTGTGGAATTGGAATTGGAGTTAGCAGTATGAACTTAGGGTTTTTAATATATACAGATAGGTACATAAACATTTACTAAACTGTGTTATTCTTTTTTGGATTTAGTCTTAGAGTATATAGTCAAAATAACGTTTTCCACAGTTACTTGAGTTACTTTTCTTCTCCGTTCCCCCGCCCTTAGTGTGGTTTTATTATTCGTCTGTGTGGGTGTAGGAGACAGGGCCTAGAAGCAGTGATGCCTCATAGCAATGAGCACACCTAGCACCCAGCTCTTGGTTTCTACATAACATCTTCCAATTAAAGGAACCAGACTCTTTGGAGAAATGCTGTTCTAGGGCTGGCACAGGGAAAAATACAAGATAAGCCTGGACAATTTGTGGTGAATTGCTCAGAAAATTATGAGGACATATCAAAAGGACACAGGAGCCAACCTGAAGGGACTCCCAGTGGCCAAAACTGGGATGATTTGAGCTTAAAATAAATAATGATAGTAATGAATTATAACCCGTAAAACTAAACAAATATGAGCCCATGCTGATATAAAATAATTGAATAAATAACTTGGAAAAAGAAAGCTCTTAAAGAATTCCAAATAATAAATATAGAAGGAATGATAGAAATAAAAAAATCATCATCTGGCAACCATCACAGTAGTAATCATCTCCAGCAAGAATCATCAATGGATGTTAAAACTAGTGGCTAAAAGTTTGAATGAGAAATAAATATTTACATAGTCTCAAGATATCTCCCCACAAGATACTTAGTAATTACACAGAAGAAAATAACTTCACAGTGGAGAAATTTGGCAGACCACCCCCTGCCCCCGGAACCAAGTAATGGAAGTTCACCTGCCCAGGAATGAGACACCCCAACACAATGAGCCTCCTGAGAGGATGCACCGAGAAGAACCGGCATGCTCCTGTGGGATTCCTGCCCCCAAAATGCCTAACCAGAATCTGGTCATGAGGAAATATCAGACAAATCCAAATTGAGGGACTTTCTTTCCAAAAGTGTCAAAGTCGTGAAAGATGAATACCTAGAGAACTATCTCAGTTTAAGAGACTAAGGAGATATGGTGACTAAATGCATCATGGATTGGATCCTGGTCCCGAAAAAGGACATTGTGGAGCCATTAACAAGATTTGAATGAGAGCTGTAGATTAGTTAATAGTATTATATTGATATTAATAATTGTGCTGTGTTTAATTTCAGATGTTAACATTAGGGAAAGCTGGATGAAGACCATACAGGAAATTTTTTAAACAATATTTGCAAGGTTTCTTGTACATATTTAAATATAAAACATTTAAAATTTGAAAATATAATAGTAAAAGAGAAGCTCTTCTTACTAGAGGGAGACAGAATTTAATATGAGGTATTTTTTAACAGCTAGACCAGAGTAGAAATGGATTAGGTTGCCCAGGGAAGTTGTGTTTATGAAGAGGCTGCGTGACTGTATGTCAGGAATATAGCCAAGAGTGTTCCAGTTTGAACAGGCAACCTCAGAGGTGTTCTTTTCCATCCTGAGATTCTGTGACTTTTGTAGTAGTCTTTGATTTGCCTGTAGCAGCATTCTCCCGAATTCTTTTCCTTCAGCTGTTCCTCATCTCAAACCAGCAAGAGGCCCACAATCAGGCACTGGCTCAGGTTTGGGGAAGAGTACTCAAAGATGACTACTTACCCACCCTTCTCTGTTTCCTGGACGAAAATGTCAAGGCAGAAAAGGCTTCAGTGGAGCACAGCTCCACTTAGAAGAACTTGCTGTAATTGTGAAAGATGGCCACCTAGGGTTTCCAGGCATGTGTTGCATGAGTTGAATGAATTTAGCTAAGTTAGATCTGCTTGATGAATTTCCCAGTTCGTGGAGAAGAACTACACCAATATTTAGAATTAGAGGTTTACACTTTTCTATATCTTGGACGCTGATGACACCTAAACTGGTTTTGTTAAATATTCATTTCATTTCTCTTGAAGTCATTATAGGTTTGTTGTTGTTAAAAGAAAAACAACAAAATACATGTTTTATGAAGCAATTTGTTTTAAAATGTTAGTCTTAACATTTTTTTTACCTTTTTAAATTATTTAAAAATACATATAACATAAAATTTACCATTTTAATGATTTGTAAGTGTACAGTTCAGTGGAATTAAGTACACTCACATTGTTGTGTAACCATCACCACCATCTGTCTCCAGAACTCTTTTCATCTTCCCAACCAAAACTCCATATCCATTAAACAGTATCTCCCTGTTACCCCCTCCCCTCGGCCCCTGGCACCCACTATTCTCTTTTCTATCTGAATTTGACTGCTCTAGGTACCTCATATAAGTGGAATCATAGAGTCTTTGTCCTTTTGTGACTGCACTTAACACTTTTTTAAAGATCCACTTAAAAAGTTAAATATTCCAGTCATGAAATATTTCAGTCATGAAAAAAACAGCAAAAAATAGTTCTTTCTTGCCTTAGGATTGTGTCAGAAAGGTATACAAACTTGTTTAACTAATTTTGTGCTTTGATCGGGGACACTGTTATTGGGGAGGGGAGAAGAAAGGCGAAAAAGAAGGAGGGGAAAGTATCAGAGAACAGGTGCAGAGGCAGGGACAGCTGCAGAGCCGACTGAATGGTGAAAGAATGCATTCAGTTCTGAACTCCACGCTGGTAGGAGAGAGATCAAAACTGTGGTGCATGCAAAGGTTACCAGCCAGGATGAGGAAAAGACTGGTCTTAAGAATAAGATATAAAGAAAGAGATGGGTATGTGACATTCCAAACAGATGATTTAATGTTGAAAACTATACTGTGCTTGGTTTTTGTTTATTTGCTTTTCTTGGTGCTTGATATAAGCTGTAGGGTGTTTAAGTTTTTATTTTTATTTTTATTTATTTTATTTTTTCTCATAGTGGTAAATCTACCTGGGTTGAATGTGTTGTAAAAGCTTTGGTTCCACGATGCAATACTCTATTCATACTAAACACAGACACAGAAAAAGTTCTGAATTGTCTGTTAGCTGTAACATATGAAGGCTCAGTATACATTTTTTTAACAGATCTTTTAAGGTATCTGGACAAGGGACATCAAATAAGGAGGCACAGTGGCTATTGATCATTTGAAGTATGTTATGGTGTTGGAGAAACTTGTTTTTTAATGGCATGTTCATAAAAGACCCAATCTCGTGCAATTTTTATGACTTTACTTAAATGAAAGGCTTGCACTGTGTCCATTCAACTTACTTCTCACCCTAAGAGTCTGTGATCCTAAGGGAATTTGCAGTAATGTCAAGGAGCTTGCTGTTTGTTTAAAAGAAAATCTTGCTGGAAAGAATTCATTTTCAGTGATTTAAAGGTGAAAAAATATGACCGTCACACTTTCAGTAATAAAATCGGTGGCCATAAGCTGTTCTGTGTTTGCCAGGGCACTGTTGTCCCCACAGTGATGGTTTGCCCGTGGTTCTCATCTCATGTCATTAACAGTGTGTGAGAGAGAAGCACACGTGGTGTATTGCTGAGATTTAAGGTAGAACTTCCTCCTAATTATTGTAGCAGTTCTCTTAGATAATTCATTGTGGGGGGAATGTTATTAAATGCCCCACAGCTAATGTGATCAGCTCCTTATTTAGTCACCAGCTGTTTCTCTGAATTGAGAGAGATAGGTGGAGGAAAGTTCCATTTTAAGCTTTGCAACGATGATTTAAAGTTTCACTGTTTTACAGCTGCTCTTTTGTAGATCTAGAGCTACAAAAGTTTCGTTTCTTTTCAGAGTGTTCTTCCCTATGAATGTAATGATGGCTGTTTCCACAAATGTCAGGAAGTAGGAAGTACCTCATTTGCTCCATATCGTGGCCCCATAATTGCAGACTTCAGTGTATAGGCAGTCCCATCTCAAGATGGGGGGCCATCACTGCCCTTGCTTAGCCATCTGCCTCTGCCTCCTGCTCAGGAAGCTCAGGTTTAGAGGAACTCAGAGGGATCTGGTTACAAGCGGGGCTTGTGGCTCAGAGATACATCAGGCCCTGAGGAGCTTCCAGCTACCCTGCTTATAAAAGTTGAAGAGCCGGATCTATTCATTTCCCTCCTTAAGATGTTTGTGTTTTTTTCCTGCTCTGGACTAGTCTCATAGGAATGAATTAGAGAATTGCCTCTTTTCCGGGATATACAACCAACTTTTAATGAGAAATAAGATTACAAATGAACACTAAGAATGGTTTTCAAGACCCCCTAAAATCTGCCACAACCTTGAAGAAGTATCAAAAGTTGATTTTGATTCCAAGCAGTAGGCAGGAGGATGACGTGTTGGATGTACAAGGCAGAGAATTTGTTTGCTGTCAATTTGAAAAACAAGTTGCACTATTATGTGGCTTTTCCTATTTATATAGTTTATAGAATGCTATAAACTATAGCAGTGAGCTCACTTGCGTCGAAAGAGGGATCCATGTGAACTTTTAACTTGAAAGTTGATTCATACAAAACAGATTTTGTAAGAAATATTAGTACGTTAATGATCAGATGTTGAGATTTAACAACATCTAGGTGATAGAAATGTTTAGGATTCTACCTTTAGGAATCCTGAATGTTAGAACATTTAGCTGATAAAATATTGTAGGAAAAGAAAATTATCTGATGAATTTCTGCACATCTTGCTTATATGATTGGGTGACCATGAAGGAGTAGGGGAGTCACACACAGGATTATTATACTACATATCCATTGCTTACAGGTGGGCTGTCTGTTCCTCTCATGTGCACTTGGGGCCCCAGACTGGTAGAGCTCCCACCTGATCTAGAGATCACCCATCACTGTGGTGGCAGTGGTTGTGGGAGGTGTCCCTCACATCTGACCTCAGCTTCATATTCTGTCTCTGTTCAACCCAGTCAATTCCTGATCATATTTGAGACCTCAAATCTTGTAGGGTCTCCAGCCCTCTGTGAGAGGAAACTTGTTTTTCTTAACTGAGAACCTTTTAGAGATGTCAGCGAGGCAGAGGGAGAGTGGAATCACTCCTAGCTTCTGCTTTTCTCCTTTCCTGTTAGGAATCATGGCTAACCAAGCAGAAGGGGAAATGTCTGAAGCAGTCGCCTTGGCTCTCCACCAGGGTATTTTGGGGCCTCCAGCTAAGGACACCTCTTTAGAGCAGCAAGTGGGGTAGAACTGAAATCCCAGCAGCCCCTCCAGGGGCTGGAGCCAGTAGGGTTAATTGTACAAGCTTGTCAGAGGCCTTTGGAATCTGAAGGAACCTGTAGGTTGCTGGACCTGAGCTCAGCTCTCACTTTACAGAGGCTCTCGTAGGCCCGGAAAAACTTAGGGTAGTCACTCCAGACGACATACCAGAATCTGTTGGTGATGGTCCTATTGACTTTTCTCACGGAAAGGGATAACAGGTGCCTAAGGTCTAATGAATGACAGGAGCTTCTGCTCTGAGAGCACCCACTCCTGACAGGGCGTCTTGCTAGGTGTTTCTGTGGTCCCATTTATTCTTACAGCCACCTGTAAGCTTGCTCTCAGTGCTGTGTAGCTAGTAGGTTGGAACAGAGCTCTCACTCCTCATCCCATAATCTTTTACTCTAGCACACTGCATTTTCCGTAAAGTATTAACGTGAAAAGATGTTCTAAATAGCATCTAATCTCATACCTCAAACATTCAGCCTAAGAACTGGAAAAGTGGGGAGTGCTGTCATTTTGGAGAAAGGATCAAATGTAATTACAAATAAAGATGTTTTCTTAAACTCTTATTTTGAAATAATTTGAGACTTACAGAAAAGTTGCAAAAATAGTACAAAGAATTCCTGTATACCCTTCATGCAGATTCTTCACGTGTTATCATTTTACCACATTTGCTTTTTTTCCTTCTGAATAATTTGAGAGTATAGTCGCAGACCGGTGCCTAAATACTTCACTGTGTATTTCCTAGCACACAAGGACATTCTGTTACGTGACCACAATACATTAACCAAAATCAAGAAATTAACACTGATCCAAGTACATTTATTTATCTAATCTACAGACCATATTCAATTTTGGCCAATTGTCCTGTCAATATCTTTTGTAGCAAAAGGAAATGGTTTTTTGGTCTAGGAAAAATCCAGGACGACTTGTGGCATTCAGTTGTCATTTCTCTTTAGTCTCCTTTAATGTGTAATGGTTCCTCAGCCCATGACCTTGACACTTTTGAAGAGTTCAGGCCATTTATTTTTATAATTTCCCTGATTTTGGGTTTGTCTGGTGTTTCCTTATGACTAGATTCTGGTTTTGCATTTTGGGGTCAGGAATCCCACAGAAGTGATGCTGATTCTTCTCGGTGCATCCTCTCAGGAGGCACCTGGTGTTGGGGTGCCTCGTTCCTGGGGAAGTGAATTTCCACCGCTTGGTTCAGGTAGGGTCTGCCAGGTTTTTCCACTGTGAAGTTACTATTTTCTCCTTTATAATTACTAAGTATCTTGCGGGGAGATATTTTGGGACTATGTAAATACTTGTTTCTCATTCAAACTTTTAGCCATTAGTTTTAACATCTATTGATGATTCTTGCTTGAGATAACTATAAATGTGATGGTTGCCAAATGGTGATTTTCTAACTCCATCATTCCTTCTGTGGTAAGTAAGAGCTTTCTCTTCTCCTCATTTACGAGTAAGTTTGCTCCGGCATCATGCTTTTTTGCCAAACACAGCAGTGTTACACGTAAGTTATCTGGGAGATATTTGTTTTTAAGTTCATGCTCTACAAAAATATTGCATATTAAAGTTTCAATAGAAAATGAAAGATAGGCTTGCTTCATATATGACAGTCCATTCTAGTCCTCGTCTCGCAGTTCCAATGATGTTTTATTTCCCCCTGTGTTCACCTGTATTTGCCGTTTTTATCTTCCTGCACCCTCCTGGATTCTGTTTCCACCACAGATCTTTGCTTAGAGCCCACATGCCTTTGCTTTTTTTTTTTTTAAGTGCTATAAAAATTAAGAGAAAAATATGAAAAGCTGTAACAATGGTTTCACTATCTGTAGCTTTAGGTGAATGTGATATCAGAATCTTCTTGTAGTTATCAGTTAAATAAATGTGAAAAAAGATTGTTAAGCCTTCAGGCAGAGTGAAGAGGTGACCCATAAGGAAAATTCAGTTAAGCAACCGTTTTGGTTGCTCAGTGTTTCCCAGCTGAACCCTTACATCCTGGGGCTCATCTCCCCCTTACTTCAGGTGCTGCCACAATGTGCACCTTCTGCCACTGTCCCTTCCCATTTTTCTGAATTCTTGCTGTAGAAGGAAACTGGTTGTCATTGATGGTGTTCTCCCTTATCTCTATCTCTGATGAAGGAGAATGAAAAGAAAAAATAGCCCTTCTGACAAGTTTGAGCAGAAAATGAGTGTGTGATATGGTTTGGGACTGAGATGCATCTATTTCCCGATATTTTCCTTTCAGATGAAGTTAAGATTACATTGCAGCAGTTTGTTTCTTCATTAAGAAGGTATTTCTAGGGTTTTGTTTGGATTGCAGTTCAACATTTTAAACCTCTATTATTGTCCAGACCTTGGAAACTTGGCTTTTCAAGCTCAAATTCCAGAGAAGTGGAAGTTTTTATTGATTATATTTACTTCATTTTGAGGTTTCCTTCAGTTCCCAATCTTTGTGACTGCTAGCAAATTTTCCAGAGTCATAAAGAAGTCTTTCAAAGAAGAATTTGCATTTGTGAGGTCGGGTATCTCTGAATCCTCCTTGACCGCTGGATTTTCTTACTGCAGGAGGACCTCCAAATGCAGTCAAGCAGAGAACTTTTATGCACAGACGTCCCTGAAGAATGTCTGAGGAGCAAAGGTATTTGTTTTGCTCAAATCTTTGCCTTTTTCCACTTATTACACACACTGTTCTAGTTCACAGTTCACATTTTGCTTTGGGAATATAAAGGTTATGGGTCCCTGCCTTGCCAGGTGGACGTAACTGTAGAAATTCTTGATATTGCCCATGGATGGACTTGAAGACCCCTGATATTATCAAGCAGTGTGTTATTTTTGAAAATAATCTGCTTCCCACTTACTTTTTCCAGAATGAGTCCCTGTCGACAGTGTGTTGAACCATTTTTGCTTATGTGAAATCTTTTATTTGATCTTATGAAACTAAACTACCTGTTTAAAAACGTTAACGTGGACAGGGAAGGAATCCACTCAGTATAGTTCAGCACTGTGGCAAGTTATTCCGTTCTTGTTCTCCTGGGCAGGGTTGGAAGAAAGCATTCACTCCAGGTCACCTTGAGCGTTTTCAAAGCAGTTTCATGTCTGTTACCTCATTTTGCTCCTCAGAACAATGGTTGAATGTAGGCATCTGAGATACTACCTTTAGTGTGATTGATTGATCGAGGAGGAAGCTGAGGACCGAAAGAAAAAGAGTGGCTGAGCCAAGATTCTTCTCCCCTTGCCCCAGGTTAAAAATAATGTAAGATAACTTTAGAGAGGACTGTGTGAATATGTTATACAATTAAAGTAAATAATATAGAGTAATCAGAACCTCAAAAAAAAAAAAGAATATACAGCAAGTACATTTAATTATGTGAACATTTTGTTACCGTGATATAATGTCAGATTTGACTCTGCTTCTTGGCAGCCTGGAGAGGAAAGGAAGCACACATCGTCCTTATGAGAAAGGACACTTGTCCCAGTTTATCGCCCTGCTTTCTGCTGCTAGAGATTTTCTCTGTGGCTCAAAGGCTTGGCTGTCCAGTGTAGATTAAAGCTCTGAAGACAAGAAATGTCTCTTTGTACATAAGTCTCACCCGGCCCTTAGGGCCTTACTCAGGATGCAGTTTAGCTCCACTAGTGCTCCGCACAAGATCCTTTTAGTGGGGCTCCAGTATTGATGTATGGAGTCTTTCGTGTATTTTCACCCACATCTTGCAACAAAATTTACTGTCTGTGTGTGAACTACACTTTGATTTAATCGCTGAACTGGCCTTTTAAACAGGAAAATCAGAGTTATTTTCTACAAGGAAGTCTTCTCAGGTTTACCTAGTTACTCTCCACTTAAATTAGTAAAATTAATTATTTTATTTCCCTCCCCAAAGCCATGTTCAGTGGTCTCAGTTTGATATGAGGGAGCTTGAAAACGGCAGCTCTGCTAGAGTTTTTAGCAGTAGTGACCTTGTAGTGCCTGACTGTGATACGTTCTTCCATTCAGTCCCCCAGGAACCTTCCAAGGTATCCCTCTGTTAAATGTGAGGAAACAAGCTCAGCTATCCAGAGTCCCATCCGAGTACAGCAAGGCAGGAAGGAAGGTTCTGTGAAGGCAAGTCTCTGTAGGAATTGAGCCCTGGGAGTATAAGCAGGACGTGCTGCCGCCACAGATGTGAGTTAAACAGATGCACATGCTTTACTGTAGTGTGGCCAGCATTTCAGCCTGTTTTGCCAAGGTCAAGGTCAAACATCTACTAACTTATCATTTACTACAGAATTGAGAATTAAATTATGTTTCTTGGAAATCTGGTTATGCTCTCTCTAGGGGCCCCAGCTGCCAAAATTTTCGCTCTGTCCAGATCATAGCTCTTAGTCCTGAGCGTGTTAGATTTAGCCTTTCCTGATGAAAATCTAATATATCGTTGCTACCTTTAAGTGTCTGCACCATTGAGCACTGTGCAAATTGCTTTACATAGTTTTATTTATGTTAAGCTTTGATTATTCTGAATGGGGGCACCTCGAAGGTCAGTGTTCTGTAATGATTTATAAATTTTCAGAGGTTTGGGGTATATATCATTATAATTTGACTTCTGTATACACAACATTGTGTTCATCATCAAAAATCTAGTTTCCATTCATCACCGTACAAATGTCCTTACCTCTTTTTCCCTTCCCTTTGGTAACCACCACTCACTTCTCTGTATCTGTGTATTTATTTGTTATTTTGGTTGTGTTTTTTTTTTTTTTTAATTTTCCGTATATGAGTGAAATCATATGGTATTTATGTTTCTCTGTCTGGCTTATTTCACTTAGCGTAATACCATCTAGGTCTGTCCATGTTGTGGCAAATAGCAAGGTTTCATCTTTTTATGGCTGAGTAGTATTCCTGTGGGGGGGTGTGTGTGCACACTACATCTTTATCCATTCATCTGCTGATGGACACTTAGGTTGTTTCCATGTCTTAGCTATTGTAAATAATGCTGTAATGAACATAGGGGTGCATATAGCCTTTCAAATTAATGTTTTTGTATTCCTTGGTTACATACTCACAAGTGGAATAGCTGGATCTTATGGTAGTTCTATTCTTAGTTTTTTGAGAAATCGCCATACTGTTTTCCATAGTGGCTGCACCAATTTACATTCTCACCAGCAATATATGAGGGTTCCCTTTTCTCCATATCCTCTCTAACACTTCTTATTTCTTGTCTTTTTAATAATAGCCATTCTGGCAGGTGTGAAGTGATAGCTCATTGTGGTTTTAATTTGCATTTTCCGTAATAATTAGTGATGTTGAACATCTTTTCATGTGCTTCTTGGCCATCTGCATATCTTCTTTGAAAACATGTGTCTTAGGATCCTCTGCCCTTTGGTTTTTAAGTTTTATTGAGGTCATAATAGTTTATAACATTGTGAAATTTCAGTTGCATATTATTATTTGTCAGTCACCATATATATGTGCCCCTTTACTCCTTATGTTCACCCCCCCAACCCCCTTCTGCTCTGGTAATCACTAATCTGTTCTTTTTGTCCGTGTGTTTGTTTACCTTCCACATACGAGTGAAATTGTATGGTGTTTGTCTTTGTCTGGCTTACTTCACTTAACATAATACCCTCAAGGTCCATCATATTGTTGCAAGTGGGACAATTTTGTCCTTTTTTATGGCTGAGTAGTATTCCATTGTATATATATACCACATCTTCTTTATCCATTCATCAGTTGATGGGCACTTGGATTGCATCCATGCCTTGGCTATTGTGAATACTGCTGCAATGAACATAGGGGTGCTTAAGTGTCTTTGAATTGTTGGTTTCAAGTTCTTTGGATAAATACCCAGTAGTGGGATAGCTGGGTCATATTTCTATTTTTAACTTTTTGAGAAATCTCCATACTGTTTCCCATTAGCTACACCAGTTTGCATTCCCACCAGCAGTGTATGAGGGTTCCATTTTTTCCACATCCTCTCCAACATTTGTTGTTTTTCATCTTCATAATTATAGCCATTCCAACAGGTGATATCTCATTATAGTTTTGATTTTCGTTTCCCTGATGACTAGTGATGTTGAACATCTTTTCATGTGTCTATTGGCTATGTGTATATCTTCTTTAGAAAAATGTCTGTTCATATCCTCTGCCCATTTTTTGAACAGGTTTGTTTTTTTGTTGTTGAGTTGTATGAGTTCTTTATATATTTTGGAAATTAACTCCTTATTCCATGTATGATTTGCAAATATCTTCTCCCCATTAGTAGGTTTTTTCATTTTGTTGATGGTTTCTTTTGCTGTGCTGAAGCTTTTTAGTTTGATGTAGTCCCGTTTGTTTATTTTTGCTTCTGTTTCCCTTGCCTGAGGAGACATTTTCAGAAAGATACTGTCATATATGGCCTTTATTATGTTGAGGTTTATTATTATATGGCCTATATTATATCATATATGGCCTTTATAATAGATTTGTATATCTACTTCCTTCCCCTATAGCTGAATAGGGAAGTCCTCAGCTATTATTTCTTTAAAAAACTGCTCTCTTCTCCTTCTGGGATACCCATTATCCTTATGTTGCCTTTTCTAATGGAGTAATAATTCTCGTAGAATTTCTACATTTTTTAAAAATCTTAGTTCTCCTCTTCTACCTGCATCATGTCTAGATTTCTATCTTCAAGCTCACTAATTCTCTCTTCCATATGATTTGCTCTATTTCCAGTGCTTTCTAATGGATTCTTCATCTCATTTATTGAGTTCTTCAGCTCTAGAATTAGTTTGGTTTTGGGTTTTTGGGGTTTTTTTAGAATTTCAGTCTCTTTGGTAAAGTATTCCCTCTGTTCATTAATTTTGTTCTGGAGCTCATTGAACTGCTTCTCTGAGTTTTCTTGTAGTTCATTATGTTTCTTTATGACAGCTATTTTGAATTCTTTATCAGTTAGATGACAGTCTTCCATGACTTTATGTTTGGTTTCTGGAGAATTGTCATTTTGGTTTTGTGATGCCCTGTTACTGTGGCTTTTTGTGAAGCTCGATGAGTTATTTCTTTGCCAATGTGTTTGTCATAGCACACTTTTCTTTTTTAAGTATAGCTTTGTTTTGATTCTAACTATTCAATGAGTTGAAGATTAGAGGCCTTTCTTTTGTGTTTCAGTAGGTGGTGCTATAGCACCAGTTTTTGGTTTTTCTTACCTGAGCTGTCTCTGGTTATATTTGAGGATCTATATGTTTCACCCTCTACCACCTCTATTAAGGGTGTTGCTGGTACTCGTGTCATCACCACCTGCACCTCTGGGGTCACAGTACCTGGCTGTTGCTGGTGTCGCTGTGGTTGCTGATTTTGCTACCAGGGATACAGGGATGGCTGACGCCTCCACCACATCTGAGAGGCTGACGCCTCCACCACATCTGAGATTACCTGGATTGGAAGCACTGCCACTATGGCAGGGGGAGGGGGAGAGTAGGGAGGGAGCTAGGTTCTCAGGGCACCGCCTCTTCTATTGCCTGTTTCCTTGTGGTCACAGGCACTGCTGCAGTTGGAAGACCCAAGTTGTGGGTGCACCTTTACTTCTGCTACCAGCTCTGAGCCATGGTGGGTGGCCCAGGGTTGCAGGGCTGCGCATCCACTGCTGTTCTGTTGCCTGTGGCCATAGGCACCACAGCAACCATGAGGCT